AGCTAGGCTGCCAGCTAAACAATCCCAACAATAAACATACCTTCTACTTTACAACTTGTTAGACTTAATATATATATATATATATATATTAATAAACTTATAATGGATTTACGGGTCTTTTATACAATATAGTATAATATAATATATTTTATGTTTTTATATATAAATATTGAATATATAACCGGAGTAAAATTCCGGTCCGGAGAATAGGTCCGGTGGACTACAGGGATCACCCTTGAATAAAATCTGGAAGAAAATCCGAAAGAAATCCAGACCTTCGACCTTCGCAGTCGATTTTCGACCTCGACGTCAGTCGTACGAAGCCATACCTACCATCATTGCAATGAGGAAACCATGACGGTCACAATGGTATAAACGGTTTCGTCATATAATGACTATATGGAGTTGAAATAAAGAAAAGAAGTCGAGAAAGACTTTGGGCTTCGGATCCGGATTCCGGACTCCACGGTTGACGTACGGAACCAAACTAAGTACCGTTTGAATGAGCTGTAAATGAAGATTCCAAAGATACCTCTGGTTTTGTCGCTGGGCTTTTGTAGGACTCAAAAGGTCTATAAGAAAGGAGTAACCTTTGAAGAAGGAAAATATAATTAATTAGAGACACTTCTCAATATCTCTACTAATTTACTACCTATCTATACATTCTATATACTATTCTATTCATCTTTGAACGTTTTATACGTATATACACTCTAATACCTTCTAACGCTTACTAAGCTACTATTTTTATCAACCTCTAAAGTAAAGGCGATATTTACTTTATTATTCATCCTCTTTCTAACTTTAATATTATTTTAACCTTCGTCGATCGATACCTTCCAATAAATTATGAGCCCGGTTTAACGACCCGTTGCCTACCCGACCCTAAACCTGTTTATAAAATTGAAATAGTTCCTTCTAATTATTTCGATAAATTTGACGATAATAAGGAATTTCTTAACGATCTCAAAAACGACTTCAAATTCAACCTCTTTCGAAACTTTTATTACCTTTTTAATATTAAAAAGCCGTTTCCCATCGAGATTTTCTACTACTAATTCGCTTTTTATTAATTTTCCTATAATAAATTATATAAAGCCGAATACAAATTCGATCCGGATATACCCCTTAACCTACCTTAATTAAACTAATTCCCTTATAACTTCGCCCTCGAAGCTTCGATCGTTCATTATTATAAGGCTTTAAACCTTTATAGGTAGAATTAGAAGGAAGACCTCGAAATTGGCTTTAGAAACTTTATTTAACGAGTTTCTATTCCCAATTATTAACATTATTCTTTAAGAATAAATAGGATTTTAGTTTGGGAATTTCTTCTATTTTTAGAAAACGAAGATTGTTAGGAAATTAACTAGAATACCCTAGAGTTCTCTTAAAACAAAGAGAGAACCATCTATAATTAGTAGATATTTCTATACTATATAGAAAATAAAAACCCCTTTGACAAATACTATTATTTTTCGTATACTTATTTATTTCTTTTAAGAAATATTTAAGGATTTTTTCCATTGTGAAAAAATGAGGGTCTTCATTTTAAAGTTCAAACTTATTTATATATATAAATAAGGAATAAAAATCTAAGAGATTTTTATAATTATTCTTCTTATTAAAGAAAATAATTATTTTTTACATACTTTTATTTATTATTGAATAAATAAAAGGAATAAGACATTAGTCTTCTATATCCTTATATATAAATAAGGAGTGAAAATCTAAAAGATTTTTATAATTATTTTCTTATTAAAGAAAATAATTATTTTTTACATCCTTTTATTTATAAATAAATAAATAAAAGGATCTAGAACTTCGTTATATAATTCTTTTATATAATTCGTTATTTTTAAGAATTGTTTTCAGAACTATAAAGATTATTATTATAATAATTGTTTATATAGCTTTTACATATATAAATATATATATAATAAATATTGCAATATAGATAGCCAATTTAAGCTTCCCAAGCTTAAGGGTACTGAAAATTATACGGTTTGGTCTTTAAGGGCCGAAGCTTATTTTACTATTTCAAAAGACTGGAGTAAAATAATTGAAAAAGAAGATTTGCAAGCTAAAGAAGCCTTTTCTAAATTAAAATTAATTTTAGAAGAAGGCCCTCTATTGCAAATTCAATACGAAGATTCTACTTTTAAGGCCTAGAAAACCTTAAAGAATTTATATAGCCCTCAAGGCTTTACTTCCGAATACCTTATTATTAAGGAATTCTTTGAGGCTACTCCTAGTAATTTCGATTTAATGGAAGCCTTCTTTAATAAAATTAAAGTCTTAATTAATGCATTAAAGGCTAGGAATATTGAACTACCTAATCAGGTAGTAATTTCCTGGATTTTATTTAACCTAGGGGAAGGTTATGAAGGCTTAGTTTTTTCTATAACCTAAGAACATAGGAAGGATTCTAAGGCCTATACTTTAGATACGCTAGCTTCTAATTTATTAAATAAATCTAAGCGTCAGAATTCCTTTAATAAAAATATTCTTTTATTTAATAATAAAAAGAATAATAAGAATTTTAAATCTTATAGAAATAATAAGATTAATAAGAATTCTAAGCTCTATAAACGTAAAAAAACTTGGAAAATTACCAAGAGTATAGTTCTTTGCACTTATTGTAAGAAACCTGGCTATAAGTATGCAGAATGCGCCTTTTTACACCCTGAAAAGGCACCAAAGCATTGGAAAAAGCTAGAAAATCCAGCAAAGAAAGAAAGAGAAGAAAATATCAATATTTTGATAGAAAAAGCCCCTGAAGAATTACTGAATTCTGAACAAAATTCGGATATTATAGATTTTTCTAATTTAGAAATTTCTAATAATTCTAGAAGTAAAGAAATCGTTGAAGACGATTCTAAAGACTGTAAGGGGTACAGCATAGTTGACACAGATGCTGGCCAAAAGAATCGATAAGTGTAATATTATATATTAACTTATTAGAAATAATTATTTCCTATAACAAGGTAAATAATTATAAAAATCACTTTTGATTTTTAATTCTTATTTATATTCATATATATAAATAAGTTTAATAAAATAAATGTCTTATTCTTTTCATTTATTTATATATAAATGGTAATTAATATAAAAATAATTATTTTCTTTAATAAAAGAAATAATTACAAAAGTCTTTTTGATTTTTAAGACCTTATTTATTTTTATAAGGTTTGAAAAGTAATTCTTTTTAAGAATAACGAATTCTTGTATAAGAATTATAAGATAAACGTCTTTTTCTTTTTAACCTTGTTATAAGTAAAAGTATATAAAAATAATTACGAAAATACTTTAAATTTTTTAACTCTTATTTATCTAATATAAATAGGTATATTTATAAGACTAATGTCTTAAATCCCTTTATTTATATATAAATAAATAAAAGTATAAAAAATAATTATTTTCTTTTAATAGGAAAAATAATTATAAGAATCTTTTAGATATTTAATTCTTATTTATATACAAGGATATATAAGACTAATGTCTTAATTCCATTTATTTATTTATTCATAAATAAAAGCATATAAAAATAATTGTTTTCTTTAATAAGAAAAATAATTATAAAAATCTTTTTAGATTTATAATTGTTACGAACTTAAGCAAGTGACACGGGCTAACCAAGCCACCGGGACACTACAGCCACGCAGAGGCGGGGCGGTGTAACCATAGAAGGCCGGTAAAACAGGGGACCAGAGGGCTCACGGACTATGAGGGCTCACGACGTGAGCCAGGGCCACACGGTGAGCCAGACTCTCTAAGGTGAGCCAGGACAACATCAAGAGTCTAAGGACACTCGGGTCCCAGTCAATGGCAGCGATATAAGAAGGCACCTGGAGAACCTAGCTAGCGAGATAGTTCGACAGTAGTCAATAGACCATCGTCATCAGAAACTCGTACGCGATACTTGTTGTGAACCTTTTGGCTTCACCGAACTGCACTTGATAGTCTTTACCTTCAGCTATCCCACTTAGGCAGATCAAGACTGCCGTTCGTCACACGTTGACTACTCCCTTTGGCCTATCTCGGATAGTACTGAAGGTATCACCATGTCTTCTCACGCCGGATCCATCAACACTTCGGGGAACGACATTTCGAATGTCGAAGCCACCAACCATCTCCTCAAGGAACTGCAAAACCGAATTCTGCAGCTGGAGGAGCAGCTCAAGGCTAAGGTGGGATCCGACAATGACAATCCCGAGGACGACAACCCGGCGGACCCCCCGGTTGCGAGGACTACACTCCCCAAGAAGAACGTCAAGATCGAAGCTCCCAACAAGTTCGGAGGTGAGCAGGACAGACTGCAGGGCTTCCTCCTGCAGGTCCGCACCTATCTTGACTATTACCCGGAGAGTTTCCCTACGGAGACCGACAAAGTCATCTTCACTGGGACTCGTCTCAAGGATAGAGCACTCACTTGGTACGAGCCCGTTCTCCAAGACTGGTACAGTCATGGAGATCGAGCCAAGGAAAGCACCAAGCAGCTCATGACGAACCTTCAAAAGTTCGTCGACGCTCTAACCGGCGTGTTTGGTGAGCACGACGAGGAGTTGAGAGCTCAAGAGAAGCTCCTCCATCTTCGCCAGACCACATCCGCCTCGGCTTATGCCACTTCTTTCAAGCAGTACGCTGTCAAAAGCCGGTTCAACAACGAAAGCCTCATGCAGGTGTTCTACCAGGGCCTGAAGAACTCTGTCAAGGACGAATTGTACAAGGAGGATCGGCCAGACAGCATCGACGAATACGTGGCTCGCGCCATCCGCATCGATGACCGTCTGTGGCAACGCAGCCAGGAACGCCGTAACCCGCCCCTCCGACACCAGCAATCTACGCGCCAAACCAGCCCCAAACAGAAGCGCAACTGGGGCAGGAACGACGTACAGGACGACAAGGGGGACCCTATGGACATCGGCGCCGTGCAGACTGACAAAGGGCGCCGTGACATGTCACAGATCAAATGCTTCAACTGTGGCAAGAAAGGGCACATGAAGCGTGACTGCCGTGCCCCCAAGCAACTCAAGTGGAAGAAGGCGGAAGCCGCCGCCGTCGAGGGTGTGAGGGTAGTTGAGATCGCCAGCATCGACTACGACCAAAATGACTTGGAAGACGCCGTCGAACGAGCCATGGACGCTGACCCTGAAGGACAATGGTACACGTCCCACGGGCCCGACCATGAAGATCCACGGGAAGGAAGCACAAGTCGGCAGGACCCGCCCCGAGGACGGACCACTGTCCAAGGGCAGACTCACCGGGCGCCGACCTGGGAAGAAATCAGCACCATCGCCACCGTGGACCGGACACTCCTCACGATCGCGCATGTTATGGGTACCTCCCCGCCCCCAGCACCCACGCCGACGCCTGAACTTCTAGAAGACGACATTCGGGACCTCATTGACCCGTACCGATACGGACGTCCCAACGATCTCGCCACGGGCCATTGGCTGGACCCCTTGGAGGATTACCACCAAAAGGGTCAGGAAGGCGAGAAATGGGACGACTTCTGGAAGAAACGAGCATTCATCATTGAAGGAGAACCAACGACATCCTGGGACGACCTCCCCTGTCAGATGGGAGCCTATCAGCCAGTAGAAGGGGACACTGCGCAAATGCATCCTCTTCACCTGCTGCACTTCCGGATGCCGTGGTTCCAATGTATCACCCACGGTTGTCACGAACACTATGGAAAGAAGCGGGACAATCGCTTCTGGCCCGTTCGGAGAACGGACGCACAAGGACAGCCCAAGCCAGTCACCCGGACTTACAGTCGGGGCAGACCCCAAGACACTCTCATCATCGACGAGTGGTTCGCTTTCAGCTTGCGACCCTTCGGAAGACAAGAAGAGTGGCTGTCCCCCAGGAGACTCGCAGCCCGACCGCTCAACGTGTATACCTGCACGGGATGGGGAAACGATCCCCATTGGGGATGGTGCCCGACAGCCGACTGCCCTATACACATGAAGCAGAAAGCCAGGGCTTACGAGACAGAAGTCGCCCGTCACCTCCACCAGGCCAAATCGGCCGAAAGCACAGAGGACGAGAAAGCCGCACACTTGGCTTGGCTACGGGAACATAGCTTGCTGGACGAGCACGAACCTGTAGAGGAGGACGCTCCCAACAACCACAGCCAAGAATTGGGAAACGGCTCAGGGCCTTCAGGGAGGCCCGACGAAAATTAAGTCCCTGGATAAAGAGGATCATCCGACGAAGCAGCCGCCGGAAAAACAAGATCCAAGATCCCGTGGCAATCACGGAGGTCGCAGCTGCAGAAGAAGGGAAGGAGGACCAGCGACTCAAGGTCGTGGCCCACTGGGGAAACTACCAAGCCCTCGCGCTAGTAGACTCAGGAGCTCAGTTAAACATCATCTCACCCAAGTTCGTCAACCAACTGAGGATTCCCTGGAAAAAGAAGAAGGCTCCCTTTGTGGTAAAAGGACCCTTCGAGACTCAAATCGTGAAGAGGGAAACACTACCACTCCCCATCACGGTAGAAGGAAAGACGGTCGAAATCAGCTTCGACGTCGTCGACATGGGGCCATCCAAGGACATGATCCTAGGGCACCCATGGCATGTAGCATACGACCCCGACATCAGTTGGAAGGACGGTGGCCACCTGCGTCCTAGGACGCACCCAACCACTGATGGGAAACCCGGAGCACGGAAGGAAGCAAGCCGCGATGGCGTTGTTCCTACGGCCCCACCGCAAGCGGTGCAGGAAGTGATGATCTGCACCATCGACAAGAGCGGCAAGGTTACGGAAGAAGGGTTAGTAACGTTGGTAGAGGTATCGGCAGTCAACGCTCAGCACAAGTTCGACTATTACCAAAACCAACAGGCAGAAAAGCCGAAAGCGGTGATCCCAGCAGATTATCAGGGGCACCCGCTTTCATCAGCAAGCATCTTGAAGGACTACCGCCACGAGGACCGTGGGACCATGAGATCAAGCTCAAAGAAGGAGCCAAGCTCAAGTTCTTCAAGGTGTACCACACCAACGAAAAACAGAACGCAGAGTTGAGGAAGTACTTGGACGAAAACTTGAAACGAGGGCACATTCGGGAATCCACATCGCCAGCAGGGTACCCCATCCTCTTCGTGCCGAAGAAGGACGGAAAGCTGCGCCTTTGTGTTGATTATAGGCAACTGAATCAAGAGACCGTGAGAAACAGTTATCCCCTACCCCTGATTTCGCGTATCCGAAGTCAACTAGGAGGAGCACGATACTTCACGCGCCTTGACTTACCCGTTGCCTACGCCCACATTCGCATCAAGGAAGGAGACGAATGGAAGACAGCATTTCGCACACCTTACGGACATTACGAGTACCTCGTTATGCCCTTCGGGCTGACTAATGCACCTGCGACATTCCAGTCCGTCATCGACCATGCGATTCGACCCTACCTCGACAAGTTCGCCATTCGCTATCTAGATGATATTCTCATCTATTCCAAGACTCTCGCGGAACACAAGGAACATGTGAAGAAGGTGCTGGACGCACTACACGAGCACAAGCTTTCAGTCAATATGGAGAAAAGTGAATTCCATGTAAAAGAAACCGTGTTCCTTGGGTATCTAATCTCGGAGAACGAGGTTAGGATGGAACCAAGCAAGGTGGAAGCCGTACGAAACTGGCCTACTCCTGGGAATACGACTGATGTTCGCGGATTCCTGGGTTTCACCAACTTCTATCGCATGTTCATACGCGATTACGGGAAGATCGCCAGGCCACTGTACGAGCTCACCAAAAAGGAGGCCATTTTCACATGGGAAAAAGAAGAAGAAGAAGCTTTCAGGGCCATCTGCGATGCAATTACCGCAGATCCTATACTAAAGCTTCCGGACCCAAGCAAACCCTTTGAGGTTGAAACCGATGCCTCAGACTACGCTATCGGAGGACAACTGGGACAGCGCGACGATCAAGGGAAACTGCATTCCATAGCTTTCTTCTCGAAGAAGCTAGAAGGACCCCGACGCAACTATCCCATTCACGACAAGGAACTCCTGGCCATTATCGAAGCATTCCAAGAATGGAAGCCATACCTCAGTGGCACCACACATGAAGTACAGGTCTACACCGACCACAACAACCTCCGGTACTTCACGACCACGAAGATACTTAACGGCCGCCAGACACGATGGGCCGAGTTCTTGTCAGAGTTCAACTTCAAGATCAACTACAAGAAGGGATCGGAGAACGCCCGAGCCGACGCGTTAAGTCGGAGGGCAGACCATGTGAAAGACGCAGCCGAAGCCTCTGCACCCTTGTTCCAGGAACAACCAGATGGATCGCTCACGCACCCCCTGCAAGAATGGGTAGAATGCTGCGCCATCTATAGGGCTAAGTACCAGGCCCTGGGACATCAGGCTACCATCGCTACCCCCGAAGACAAGCAACGATGGGAGGATAGCCAGGAAGAAGGGATCACCCTTCAGAACGCCAAGCTATGGTACCACGATAAGGCCTACGTATGGCCAGAACAACGAGAGGCTCTCGTTATGGAGATCCATGCTTCTAAGATAGGAGAACACATGGGTATCACAAAGACCATAGCCAGGATACGGCAACACTACGACTTTCCAGGGATGAAGGCCGAAGTGGCTCGAACATTGCAGGCCTGTGAACGCTGTAGCAGGACCAGGGTTGCAAGACACAAGCCATACGGATTTCTCGAACCCCTAGAAGTCGCGGAAAGGCCGTGGAGTTCGGTAACGATGGATTTCATCACTAAGTTACCACCATCTACAGACACTACCACAGGAGTTACATACGACAGTATCCTAGTGATAGTGGATAGGCTGACCAAGTGGAGCTACTTCCTGCCTTATAAGGAAGCTTGGTCAGCAGAACAACTTGCAGATGTGATCTATCGGAATGTTACTTCGGTGCATGGATGGCCGAAGGAATGGATCACGGACAGGGATACCAAGTTCGCCTCCAAGTTCTGGCAGGCATTGATGGCCAAGCTCGGTACCAAGAGTAAGCTATCAACGGCCTATCATCCGCAGACAGACGGACAAACGGAAAGGATGAATCAGATCGTGGAACAATATCTGAGGAACTATGTCAACTTTGAACAAAGCGACTGGGTAGAGCTATTACCCACAGCACAATTGGCATACAATACCTCCCCCACAGAAACCACGAAGGTCACACCTTTCTTCGCGAACTACGGGTACGAAACAGAACTCTTGGAAGGACCCGACTCGAACGTCCCTAGGGCCGCAGTCAAGGCCCAGAAGTTACACATGCTGCACGGGAAGCTCAAGGCAGAGCTGGAGTTCGTACGACAAAAAATGAGCCGGTATTATAACCAGAAAAGGCTCGAGGGACCTCGCTTTAAGGAGGGGGATAAAGTCCTTTTATCCACCAGGAACCTTGGGACAAAGCGGCCCAGCAAGAAACTCGATGACCGGCGGGTGGGACCTTTCAAAATCAAGAAGAAAATCTCGGATGTGGTATACCAGTTGGACATTCCTAATACTATGAAGCTAAGATCACACTCGTTTCACATCTCACTACTGGAACCAGTACCTAAAAATGCACGAGTTAACACACGAACCAGTATCGAGGACGAAGAAGAGGAATGGGACGTGGAACAAATTCTGGATTCAAAGTTGGAAGACGGGGAGCTGGAATACCTCATCAAATGGGAAGGGTTTGGCCCCGAAAACAACACCTGGGAGCCACCCAAGAACCTGAGTTGCCCTGAAAAATTGAGGGATTTCCACCGACAGAACCCGGATCGGCCAGGGGCGCAGGACTGTCCAGCAGGGAAGAAGGCAGGGCTCACGGACTATGAGGGCTCACGGCGTGAGCCAGGACAACATCAAGAGTCTAAGGACACTCGGGTCCCAGTCGATGGCAGCGATATAAGAAGGCACCTGGAGAACCTAGCTAGCAAGATAGTTCGACAGTAGTCAATAGACCATCGTCATCAGAAACTCGTACGCGATACTTGTTGTGAACCTTTTGGCTTCACCGAACTGCACTTGATAGTCTTTACCTTCAGCTATCCCACTTAGGCAGATCAAGACTGCCGTTCGTCACAATAATCCTTATTTATATATAAGGATATATAAGACTAATGTCTTAATTCCTTTTATTTATTTATTCATAAATAAAAGCATATAAAAATAATTATTTTCTTTAATAAGAAAAATAATTATAAAAATCTTTTTAGATTTTTAATCCTTATTTATATATATAAATAAGTATATACTTCTATTAAAGAAGACCTTTATTCTTTTCATAATAAATAAGTACAAGAAAAATAAAGATATTTTTCAAAAGGTTTTTAATATTCGAAGATTTTTCGAATAATTTAGTAGTTATTAGTTCTTTAAGAAATGTTTTTAGGGGTTTGAACGTTACCGTAGTAAAGCCGGTATTCATTATATATATTCTTCGTAATTGGGCTCGGGGGCAGAAAGGTTACCGAAGTAAACCCGGGCTCATAACCTGTTGGAAGGTATCGATCGACGAGTGGATATGGTACGAAGGTACGGTCGATACGGCTGTTTGGAGCGTTCAAAGTGGAGCAGAATGGTATGTAGAATGTGGGGAATGGTGGTAGATTGGTCGAGATATCGATGAGTGAAGTCTAACTATTTAGAATCCCTTTTCCTTCGAGGGAACCTTCTTTCTTATAGATTTTCTGAGCCTTCTGGTTGTCTTATAAACAATCCGACTATACAGTTGAATTCCTTATCTTCCGGGAATCTAGAAATAGTTCCTTCAGTCCTGTACGTCAAAAATAGATTAAGAAATCTATTTCCGAAGTCAAAAGGTTTTCGAGGTTGAAAGAATAGAGGGTTCCTTTATTAATAAAGGTGTTTATCTACCCTAGTTATTTTCGTACTGTGTGCGCTACGATTCTATTCTGGGCCGCCTAGTGCGGTCTAGGCTACCCGTGCAGGCTACCCATGCATCCTCTACGAGGGTTAGAGTTTTATTAGGTAGAATTTCAGCCACGAATATTTAATCGAATAAAATCGAATAAATTCAACCGAAAATATAGGGCATATATTTATAGTATATATTACCTATATATATACTCCTATACTGGTATAGTATAGTATAGACCCGTAAATCCGTTATAAATATATAATTATTATATAATATATATATTAAGTCCAACAATTGTACTATAAGGCTACGTTTAATAAAGAGAAACTCTATTTG